AGACAGTATCTAATATCCGATGACCCGTTGTGCCAGATGGGATGCGCTCGACGATGTGAAGAAAGCGACAAACGGCTTCGTTCATCGCGTTTGCAGCCCTGGCGAGCTTGCCGAGGCGAACGTCGCCGCCAATCACGTGGTGATCATCTTGCCTCCGCCCGTGCGTGGAGACTAGTGCGGTAATAGAGGCGTGATTCCAAGTGAAGCCCATAATGCGTACAGACAGCCGTTTACTGTCCGTGTCGAAAAAGGCGTTACCTACACGCATTCGTGTGGTGTGGTCGGCACCAGCTACCCAAAAATAGACCATACGGCCTCTTGCCCACCTAGCTTCGTGTGCCATATCGTTTGAAACGAAGTCATATCTTACCGGTCACATGTTACCTAGCGGCCGGGTGAGAGTTACCCATCGCACGGTGGTGTCGTCGTGCCTCGTGGCTAAGGCGGCTAGCGTAGAGCAAGCTACGTTGAAGAGCTGTCCCTTTCATCGCTTAGAAGAGTTGGTGTTAGTTCGGTGACTGGTAAACTCGTTAACGCGGTCAGTCAGCCAAGTTTTGTCCTCAGGTGTAAGATTCATCACGCGCCTGGGGGAGACTGCCACGCTCGTATTAACAGGCAAAAAACAGCGGAACAATTGGCACAAAAGGTCTCGTGCCTCTTCCGACACAGGTGGCTCAAAAAATCTTATAGAACAGGGAGAGCTTACGCGGATTTGGGCTAATAACAGTGAGTACTGATACAAGTCCTCGAGGTCCCGAGCATATAATGAAGGAGTTATAGTCACCGCTTCGGGGGCGCCCTCAAAAACGGCTAAGAACTTCCTGATTGCGCCATTATGCCAGATAAGGCTTACTACAATGCCAACGCTGGGATGAGGGTTTACGTTAGGAGTGATGAGTGCGAAACGGTCGACGCGGAAAAAATACTTGGACGAAGCCTCCAACGCGGTGGCACGTGGTATACGGGACGCAGCCAAGGTGTTTGTATGGTCTTGTAGAGCTGCGCGCGTCGGGGTAACCGAATAGACCAAAACTAGATCCTTAATGGATATTAGGGTTTGGTCGAAACCGCGCTTTTCCGTGAGCACATCGACAGCATACTGTTCCAGGACAATGCAGTGCAGATCACGGCGGTCTGGTCCTATTACAAAGAAATCTTTTGCCTCTAATATAACGCCTGCACCATATCCTGTAGCCACCACTTGATACAATACCGGGCGTGTTTCGTTGATTATGGTAGGTGCCACTATGGATGATTACGATTCGCGAGGGGTCTGCTCGTTAGTCCGCGCTAGCTCCTGGTATTCCTCTTTTAAGGTTCTGTTGAGGATCTCGAGCGAGGTTTCCCGAAATGTGATGGCCGCTTATCGAGCGTCTGAAGCTCCATTACAGGAATTTTGTTCGAAGGAGTGGGATCGCCTCGGATGTAAATGGGGAAGAGCGAGCGAACCCATCGAGTAGCGTGGTACGCTCCTGGGGGGATTGGTCTGTACATGTCAAGAGGAAGTTCGCTAGTGGTACACTCGTTTTTATATTGGCGTACTTGGGAGGACGCGAACGTACCAGGGAGCCCCGACGGTGGCGATCGGCCAAAGGGTGGGTGAATCCCGCGCGAGTCGTTTCTGGAAGGTTCTGGCGTCAGTCGACCACTCATCACGAGGTGGGGTTCTATTCGCATCAAGCGGTTCTACCTCTATTGAATAGTTGTCGGCGGGAAATCCTTCTCCAGGAATCGCGAGAGCTGGAAGAGGGATCGGAGTGAGCGTGTGGCGACCGTCTGGTGAGCTGACGAGAGGCGTACGCATGGCCGATGTTGAAAGAGCGAGGTCGGTGTGACCGACGCCTGGATTGCCGAGTCCACATTGGTGGAGAAGATGAGCGATACATCGTTGCCCGTGCGGTTGGGAGAGGGTCAAGCGGCAATGCCGAGGACCTAGGGCTAGCCACCGGCGTATACTCGGTAACCTCCATTGGTGAAGGAGTCGTGACTAAACCGATGTCAGCGTTCAGCGATTCTTCTAATGAAGAGGAGCCTCGCTCTGATGCTTCACGATCCTGTGCTAAGGGATCATTGTCGCTACGGCATGTGACTGCAGCGGCCGTATTATCAGTGGAGTCATGATCTGACTGATCACTGTGCGAGTAAGCTGAATGATCAGCCAAAATATGGCCCGAAGAAAATGAGGGGGGACTTGCCCCTGTACCTGACTGTTTGTCGTCGGGATCGGGTTGAGGCCTCGATTCCATGGTTGCGTTGGCAAGTAAGTTAGTTGGTTGACTTCGAGTAACGATCGCGAATGAATCTGAAACATTTCTTACTAATATATAAACCGCAAACGTCCGTTTGTCTGTATGTTTGTCTGTTTGTCTGTAACACTATCTTATATGGTGCCTTTTGGAAATGAAGTGGAACAGCTCAGACAGGTTGAAACAAGTGGAGAGTGAGCCTGACTCGTTGGGTACACGGGGTACACGTAACTCAAGCTAGCTCCGCCTACCAGGGGCGGAGCGCCTCACTAGGGGCGTGCGCGGAAACTGTAGTTCAGCGGAATTCTGTAACTCCTGTTCTCCTGGGCCTAGAGTATTCTAATTGGCAAAGATGCAGGCGGCGAGAAGGGAAAGCTAATGGTAGTCGACAGGTGCAGACTCCGCCCACTGGGGGCGGAGCTTCCGCAAAAAATTAATTTGGACCTGACGCGTTCGAATTTGGTAGAGGTGTAGGCGGCAAAATGGGAAAAGTGATGGTAGGTGACAGGTGTAGTCTTCGCCGTTTGGAGGCGGGGACTCTTCGAAAATAGTAGTTTTGGTCCTGGAGCGTTCAAATTTGGTAGAGATGTAGGCGGCAGTAAGGGAGAACTAATGGTAGGTGTAGACTCCGCTCACTGGGGAGCCAATCCTCCTCGAAAATAGTAAATTTGGGCCTGAGGCGTTCAAATTTGGTAGAGGTGTAGGCGGCAAAATGGGAAAAGTGATGGTAGGTGACAGGTGTAGTCTTCGCCCTTTGGGGGCGGAGCACGTGTCGTTGGATCCGAGAAAACTCCATCTAGAAGCTGGAACCGCCACGCACTCGTGTATCTGTATGAGACCATTGCCCAAGTAAAACGCTGCGATATTGATGCGGCCGAATAGGCGTCGTGCTACAACAGTAGTTCGGGCCGCGAGTGCTATCTGAATTGAAAGGCCCAAAAGATTGGCTCGGTCACACAGGGCTGAGATGGTGTGTCTGAATAGTGAGAACACAGATGCCTTTGCGGAACCTCCACTGCGAGCAATTGGGCGGCTAGCTGGTTGGATATCACGATACCTACAGATTGAACGAGAGATCGAGCAGAACGCCTGGGTGCAGTTATGGCGTGGCCCTGGTCAGTGAACAACAGGGACTTCCCGCAGTCGAAGAGGTGTTCCGAGGACGGAGTCCATGACAGAGCAAATTCCCGGGAATCGCACGCCAAACGTGGCCGACCCGTTAACCTCGCATCTTGCCTACCGGGAAAAATTGACAATGCTCTTCAGCTTGAGGAGTCCAAATAATGGCTGACCCGTCGGAAGCGTACAGGAACCCGCGTGGTATACGCATGCGCTCATGTCACCTGCCAGGGAAGTGGGTGGTCATCTCCATGTTGGGCATATACCGTGGTAGGGAAAAGGAGACAATTTGTGACGGTTACCTTGTGCTGAGTACAGCAGCCGAAGGGAGTGAAAGGCCACTCTATTACTAACTCATTAGTCGTGCGCCTCGAACCATCGCGATTGATCATGTTTCCGTGGGCGCAGTGGTAATGAGTGGACATTACACGGCACCATTCGATAGTTACTGTTTGGACTGTTTCAGAGTGGACGATAGAGCGAGCGCCGAAGAAATCAACTGAGAAGGAGGCTGACGACGTTACTATTTCACACCAGGATACTGGGGAGAAATATCGTTTTGTATTGGGATGGAAAATATTATCAGAAGGGCTCTCGAACGTGGCATTGAAAGGTGGTAGGATAGTAGAACAGTTGTATGAGAGTGGTATGTACAAGATCCGATCTCTATGGTTGCGAGGACACAACCATGCCATAGATGCTTGTGCAGGTCCAGCTGTGAAAGTCGCCACACAAAGAAGCATGAGGATTCCAGGAGTAAATATAGAAAGAGATGGTGAACGAAGAAACGGAGAGGAAGTTTGGTGGCGGAACATGGATTGCGACAATACCTGATTGCGTTTTAGCAGTGAGATTTCGAGCGCGGGCGTTGGAGATTTCTGTTTGAGCGTCGGTGTGGTCGCTATCTGGGGACAGTGTGGGATTCCGATAGGCGTCGGAAGAGGGTGTTGAATTCAGAAGAGTCATCATGTTTGCTCCTGGTTGCCTCGTGGGACGGAAGGGTGTGTTCTGCAACGGATTCATATTGCGTGGAGAAGGGCGTTGTCGCGAAAAGTGACCGCGCCCTCCACAGTTGAAACAGCGGTTGTCAGGGCCGTATTGTTGTGGTGGGCGCGAAGTCTCTCTGGGCTTATTAACCCTTTGCTGTCTCGAGGTGAATCGGTTGGCGTATTGGCACTGTGAGGTGCGAAAACGTGAACGGCGGTTAGGTTCAAAATCCATGCGGGCTACCTGTGCGGACAGTGCCTGAACCTGTTGATTGTCGATATGAGTGGCAGGGTGCATTAGACGGTCAACAGCAGCCTCTGCAAGAAGCTGCTCGGCCATCTGAGCACGCTCGACCGCCTGCTCAAGGGCATTAGGACTGTCTAAGCGCACGAAATAGCGGATGTCATCTCGCAAGCGTGCCAGGTATTCCTCCAGTATGCGTTCTTTCTGGGCGTTGGGGTTCTGCCCCGTGGTAGCAGCCCGGACCAAGTTGCGAAGGCGATCTGCGAAGGCTGTGGTCGACTCGGAGAGTCCCTGCTGACACGTGGAGAGAGTTTGGCGGGCCAAATGTCGTTGCTGGGGACTTTCGAAAAATGACCGCAAGTGGGTTACAAGGGTGTTGTAGTTTTTGCGCTGGATTTCTGGCAGTTCATCTACTTTCTCGCGTGTCGCCCCGTCTAGACATCCTATCAGAAAGTTGGCTTTTTGCTCTTCAGTTAAAGGGGTTCGACGCATGCGTAATACGTTCTCTAAGCGGCGGAGCCGAAGAGAGAACTGTGGGGAATCACTACTGCGAGTAAAAAGTTGTAGCTTAGGGGAAGCTCCATCGGGGAAACAGGATGCTAGAATTGGTTGAACGCGTTCCCCCACCGCCGCGAACGAGGTGTTCAGTTCGCGAAGCAAGCTAATATGTTGGCTGAGATCTGTTAAGCCAACGATTCCGTGGAGAGCTGCGCATCATGCCAGACCTTCGTCACAGCCGTAGCGGTAGCGTTCCGGAGCTCCTTTGCATCCCACCCCAATACCGGGTCATCGTCTCCCAAATCAATCAGGACGGACTGTAGCTCCTCGGTGAACTTAGGTGCCACAGGGAGTGACTCTTCGTCGGGATCTTGAGATGGTGTCGGGTCCTCCTTGGCCTGCGTGAGGAGGGCTTGGGAGCGAGTTACTGGTCCCGAAGCGCGCGGCATTCCCTACAGGCCCACAATCGTAGTATACAAGGGTGTAGGTACTGAAGAAACTGTCGAGTTTCGACGGAAGAACAGGAGAGAAGGTTTAAAAGTGAACACGATGTGGAACAAAATCCACAAAGATATGAACTAGGGGGGGGGGGGTAGGTCGCTTATATACAAAAGA